ATGTGTTGAAGTACACGTTTTCCACGTACCATTCGATTCGCCATAAAATAAACATTTGTTTGAACATTGTAAAAAGAACCTGATGAAAAGCGAAACATATATTCACACCACCTCGGCAAAAATGCATAAGATTCCTCCCAATCACCATACATCATTGCAATTGCTTTCTGCTTCGCATACCATGCCTTTCTATATGAAACTTTGAATCCATAGGACTAAGTGATCCTCTCCTGAACCAGTGCAATTGAGACTGATTGCTCCTTCTTGATCATCTATAATAATCAAATTGTAACGTACACATTAAGACAAACAAAAATACAATCAATATTTCATAATCAGAAAATTTTCTAATAATGTACCTAGTATGAGTGCAGCAATAACATCATAATCAATCTGTCTGTGATCCTGGTCATTCAAGCAATTTTGATTTCCACCCCATTTAGTAACCTTCCAATTTTCACCGTACGTTGGTTTTATTACCCTAATCTTCCACGGGAAACCCTGTTTATACGCACAACATTTCATGCTTAATTTTGTAGGCATGCTCTCAACCACAATCGTTTCTTGATGCTCATTCATGAGATTCACTTTATTGCCATTTGGGCCTCTATTTTTTATGCAAATTCCTGCTTAACAAACAACTTTTCCCTTAATTGTCATGGACCCTGGTCTGAACCCGAACCCTCGGTATAAGATTCTTGTTCGCTCGGATGATCCAATCAATGTATGTGGAATGTGGAATTTCATTCCAAAAAAGAGTAACAACATCATCACCCGCATGTACGAATTAATAATAGTAACAAAAAGAAAAATTACGTAAACAAAACCATATATGTGTATATGAGTTGTTTACTAACATAGCTTTAGGATGTTATAGTAATTGATTCGACCCCATATCATGATGTTCTGGGATTTGAGACCCCCCCGATCATAATATGGATGGATCTGAATCGCAGACCGAGCACATTCCTCATTATTGTCCGAAGCACTAGCATCCTCCGCAAGAAGATGATCTTCCATTGCCATATATTCATCATCGTCTTCATCATCAGCCTTATCCATAACCCAAGTAAGGTCTTTTTCATCTTCCTCAAACATGTTAACAACTAGAGCAGCTGATGATGGTAAATTACGTGGAGAATTGAAAGCAGCTGACCACATCGGTAAAATTCTATCCTCTACTCCGACAATATCCATGTACAACTCTAAAAATCTTTCCTTGATTGGTTGAAGAATTCTTCCATTACCATATCTACGTCTTCATCATCCATAACTTGAAAGCCCATGTACTATTCAGATTGTCATAAACTTGCCATGACCTCATGGGTTGAATTCTTCCATTACTATATCTACGTCTTTGAGAGCTAATTTTTGACGAATTTTCTGATGTAGTTCGCCAACTGTTGAGTTTTGCTTCATACATCAACACGAATTTTCTTGCCTTAAAAAACTACACCACGTCGACCTTCCACTTTCCTACAATTATAATATAGAACAACATGAACATAATCAAAATGTGAGTTCATTCTTAAATATATTAATAAAAAACACAAAAGAGGGTATGAATAAACAAGTGATAATATATGTAAAAGTTGGATTTATGATGGAGAAGAGTCGTGAAAAATATGGAGAAGAGAGGGATTTAAATAGGGGAGAACTGAGTTAATCACACCCAAATAATACAGGATAGGGTTCCTGGTCACGCCCCAGCTTGGGCGTGTCTCTCTCTTTATGACTCACTCCCTATGGAGGGTGTGTCTCTTCATAGGTCACGCCTTATGTAGAGAGCGAGTGGTCACACCCAATTTTGGGCGTGACTGAGTGCAATAGATCCGTTTTTAGTTTTAAAACAACTATGTTTTCGTAAATAATTATTAAAATATCAATATTTTAATTTTTTTTCGCCTAAAAATACAACTACAACTTATTACTTCGACTTAAGATTGATAATGGATATTCAACACATAAAGAACCATTTTAACTTAAAACCTTAATGATTGGGTGACACTACATCAATAATTTTACATCTCTCTAACACACCTGGTCACACAAAAGCTCTTTGAGCTTGAAGCATGAATATTGCACAGATCCATTTATTGATTTATCTTGTGCTGCACAGGCCCATTTTTGGTTTACCTTGTGCTTACTTAATTCCACCATAAAGTTGGGGTAGTGAGGATCGAACTCGTGATCATTTGGTCACTTAAGCTTTGGTACCATATAAAGAACCATTTCAACTCAAAACCTTAAGGCGTTGAGTGAAATTATATTAATAATTTTATATCTCTTTAACTGAAAGAGGCTATCTCTTTAACTGAAAGAGGCAGAGGCTTTGTAAGTAGATCTGCGAGTTGATTTTGAGAACGAATAAGGATCAAGTTGATTTACAATATTGAGTCTTGAGTTCCACAGAAAAGAAGCAACAGGAAGACGAAGTAAAGTTGTGATATTACTTAGCTTAATTACTACATGTTAAAAAAACAACATGCCTTTTTAACATAAGGCCGAAAGAAGAAAATGAGACAAAGGCTACCTTAAGACAAATATTGTTACAAAGTAACTAAAAATACACTAAAACTTATTAATTATACATCTTTAATTTTCAAGCAAGATTTGATGATTTTTTCTCTCCATTAATTGTTTTGTGTGTGTCTTCCTTATCATCAAACATAGTTTGCGTTTACAATCAAATCCCAACTATATGGTTTATAAAATTATACATCACTTATTAATAAAAAAAGGGTAAATTACACAAAGCCATTGATAAACCTTTAGTTTATCTTGTTTTTATAGACTAAAATCAAATGAATTATCATGTTAAATGAGTAAAAACTAGGGTTTTGATATAAAATACATGAATTATGTGATTATGAATTAAATAATACATATTTGCTATTTTGAAGGAATTTGATGATAAATGGAGTCAAATATGAAGATTGGATAGATGGAGATCAAAACTATAAGATATGAGGATCTATCTAAAGAAAATCAAGAAAAATCAAGTTGTTAAAGAGGAGGCTTAAGCCCCCATTTCAAAGCTTAAGCCTCCCAATTATTCCAAAATAAGCAAATAACCACTGCCTGAGGAAGTTTAAGCCCCCAACTCAGGGCTTAAGCGCGAACCAAGAAGAAAATTCAGATTCGAAGAGCGCGTTTAAGCGCGCCACGTTAATTCTGCATGCAAATCTTAAAAGGCTTAAGCGCCCCACAGCGCCACCTAAATATGAATTTAATAATATTTAACATATTATTAAATTCTAAAACTATTTAACATATTTAATAATATTAAGACAATAATACCTTTATTCTCAAGCCACCTAAACCATTATCATGACACCCTGATCTTGCACCACGGCCCTCCAGTTGCCACCTTGTCACTGGTCATTAGTGCCCTTCCTTTCAAGTGCAGTTTCTAATATGAATTTAGTAAGGAATTGATATAAAAAAAGAAAGAATTGAAAGAGTTACTAGATGGTCAAACTTAGGGCAAGTCATTGCCTGCACATCCGTCAATAGGCCTTGTGCTTTCTTCCACTGTGGAGGTTTTACCAAGCACTCAAATAGTAGCACCAAAGAATGCCAAGTAAAACCCATTATAGCAATTGCAAAGATGGGACCAAATATGTCTTTGAATTAAAAAAATATTTGTTTTTTGGACCCCAACGGAGTCACCAGTACTCAAACAAAGGACTTCCATTCCGTAGTAAAACGATCTTACCTCTGGTTCATCTGTTGTCCAAGGAAAACCCTGTGCAACAGGTATCCTCTGCCTGAAATTATAATTAAATCAATACATTTGTGTGTGCGATCGCCTTTAGGATATCGCTACACCAATAATAGTACTTAACATGCAAAAGTCTTAATTTGGACAAGGATAATATAAGGCTGCGTTACGTATGATTGGATTTTATAACTGAAGATAAGCCTACCTTTCCACTCCAGCTGCAGCCACTAACAACATAGAGCTTAAGAGCTATATCTTAATGCGATAAAATTTCGAAAGCATGTGACACTTAAATTGTTGAAGCGAACTATTACTTATAGTTTATTAGTGTTTTTAGCTACATTTGCTGTGTCAGTTGAACTAGAGCTGCAGACAAAGTAGCAATTAGCAAGGCTGGTTTTTGAATCAATTGGAATTACTGCGCACTTCCCTCACGGTTACGGCAATGAGCAATGTATAGCGGCTCCATAGCCCATGTATTTTCACATAATCACATAAACTAATTGCCCTGAGAATTGTAGCCTCCAAAACTGTTCCCTTTGAAATCATTGTTGCTGATTTATATATTTATATTAAGATTTATCTTCTATGTATACATAAAAGTATGCGAGATTGATATTTTCTCTTTTTCGGAAGAGTGACCATTTTGCCACACTTGGCAAAAAAATTTACCAGACTGCCACGCCAAGAGTAAATTTTGTCAAAATGCCACGCTGCACCCTTAGCCGTCGTTGAAGAAGTCTGACAACATAACTAATTCACATTATCTTATCTTAACTCTTAATTATTTTCAGACTTCTTCAACGACGGCTAAGGGTGCAGCGTGACATTTTAGCAAAATTTACTGTTAGCGTGACAGTCTGGTAAATTTGTTTGCCAAATGTGGCAAAATGGTCACTCTTCCCTCTTTTTCCTTCTTCTCCTAACATGAGCTCATATGAATCCAATATACTTTTATGTATGTGACTATATGTAAGAAATAAAATTTATAACATGAAAATATTAAACACTTTATATTAACATACAAGATAACATATACATGTGATATATATATAGGGGCGGGATATTCTTACACCAGTGTAAGAGTTAGAAGTCTTACACTCAATCTTGACCATTGATTCACTTGTATCTAATGGCTCACATTACTAAAAAATTAGAGCCCTTATATATAAGTGTGATCAACGGACAAGATTAAAAGTGTAACTTACACTGGTGTAAAATGATCCTGACCCATATATATATATATATATATATACAGAAACTCTCAATTTATATTTTATACATGGTTTTGAAAACCGAGTTGACAAAAGTTGTAATCGTAGAGAGTTACAATTGAAGGCCCTAGGTACGGCGCTCCATGAACAACTAGGTCATTAGGCAATGGTTTCTCCTCTAGCATGGCATAACCTGTAGCAGTAGCACACAAATTAATATTTATATATTAAAAAAAAGATATATTAATGAAGAGAATCAGAGCATTCAAAATTAAATCACCAGTGAGGGAAGGGATAGGGGCATCTGAATAGTAAGTGGAAGGCCTTCCAAACTCTTCAGAGTATGGTGGAGACAGCACGTCTAGTATTGCACATGGGGTCAACGCTTTGAAAGAATGAATGTTGCCACCACTTCTTGGAAATAATATAGATGGCTCATGTGGCGCTTTGATTACTTCATCAATTACCCTGCCTGCTAATCCTACTACACCCCCGCAACAATATTGAAAGACAAAATGTTATTATGGTCAATTTGAATTTTGTGTAATACGGTGAGAAATTCAAATTAAAATCTTTATGCTGTAGTAATTCTTCTTACTTGTTTTGCACCCAGAAGTATCCAATTTGATCCAGTCATAAGCTTTGACATGGACTGAGCCATATAAAATCTTGCTCAACACTGTCATTCCCGGGTGATCATGAAGTGGAAATAACTTTCCTGCTGGAAGACAGAACACGCCAATCTGCATGTTCTTAAAATTCATTAGATTAAATATTGTCCTTAAACTTTCATTAACAAGAAGTAAACAAATTTAGTACTTAAATTTTCTACTCACAGAGAAATTGTCACATTCATGAATGTGAATATATGTTATTTCAGAGAAGCCTTGCCCACAAAGCAATCCCCTGCTGCCATCTATGTTTGTCTCTGAAATCGGAGAATCACACGACCCGAACTCGTCAATTCCTACATCTATAGCTTCAATTTTATCTGCAAATTCATTAACCTCAAACCTATGAATTAGTCTTCTATTTACATACCACACATAAGCTAATACAATGGTTAGGAAAATTATAAAGACAAACAATAACATGTGCACTTGATTCAGGATGTGGATATATAAAAACCCACCTAGGAGATTTTTCAGATAATGAATTTGTTGAAAAGTTGGAAGCCCCTCCTGAGAAAACAAGGCATGACAAGCATCATACAGAACTTGTATTTTGTTCCTCTCCACCATTGTCTGTTTGGATGGCCAATGTTTAACGCATTATGGAGATGAACGATGACTATAAATTGAAGGACAGTGAATAACGTCAACCAAACCTTGGGCCCGATCTGACTTATTTTATATTACAGTGTGCTTTTGTTGTTTGAATCTTTTTCCATTTCGGAAAGGGAAAGGGTTCTTTATTATACAACTAAGACAAGCTGGGGGCGGAAGCTTGAATTTTGACATTAGTCAATTTTTTTAATATAATTGCTGCCCTATGTTTAAAGATAAAAATGGGCTGTAGATATTAAAACTGTGTGACCCCTTCTGTTGCTTACATTAAATTTTTTAAATTACTAGCAGTATGCTTAATTTTCTATATGAAACTCTAAATAATGCATTAGGAAAAAATTATAAAAGGCAAGTTTTTGCCGTCCACGCACTATTTCATGTCAGGCGTTAAAGAAACAAGCACTGTTGCTGGTAGTATAACTAACAAATATCTGTTTTGGTGAATTGATTATGTACACCATGCTAAGAGATATAAGATTAAATATTGATCAGTAACCGTTGGTGCCGAAAAGAGGAACACGTTCACATTGAAATTCGGTGACTATACATCAAGACAATAATCTTCTTGTACTAATTAGATGTAGTGGGGAATTCTGTTGTTCCCTTTTCCTAGAAACATTTGCAATTGATTTTTTTTTTTTTTACACTTTTCATTTTATTTCATGATTTTTTTATATGAGAGAAAATATAAAGAAATTGTGTTAGAATGTATATTTTATTATTTCAATAGAAAGTAACATAAAAATTATATAATAGAAATAATGTATAAATAATAGTCATTTGTAATTATATAAAATCACTTTAAAACTACATAAGCAAATGTATACGATAAAAAAAAAGAAGGAAAAATGATAGGGTTTTTTTTTTTCTAGAAAAATTGTTGGAGTATTTAAGTATGATGATTGATTGGTGATAAATAATGGACTCAATGAAGTTCCTATAAATAGGAGAATCTATGAATCCAATACTTTAAATTTTTTTGAGAATTAAATTCCTACCACAGAAGGTTCTCGGCCACGTAATATCGTTCTCTTACTCCTCTGTTGACTCTTCTGCTGCTGCTTTGTTGTGATTCTAAAGAGTAAAGATGTAGGGAGTGCATGAGATGAAGACAGTTCCAACTTCCAAGCTTTCTTCGTCGTTTCCTTTCTCCTTTAGATTCTATGTAGTTGAAGTTGCACCTGAAAAATTTCATCTTGCTCTTTCTTTGTCATTGCCTCACGACGAGCTAACTTGATTTCTGAATTACATGACTCAGAGCCAAGAAGGGATGAATTAGTTCCTTTAGTACAATATTAAAAATTATACAAATAAAAATATATGCAAAACGTAACGCAAAAAATATGAATGTTTGAAAGTAAAAGATACAGGAATAAGATTAAAATGTTGTTTATCCAAGTATCTGCTCAACTTTTTATTTATTTCACCTGTGTTTTTGTTCAAAGTACATCGACTAATATTCCTCTATCTTATGCTTCGAAAAAAAGTAGGGTGATTTTGTTTCTTTTAAAGATAACATAACAACCTTCTTCTATCTCTACTTGAAATACAGGGATTAAGTCAAGCTCTTCCAAAATGATGATTATAGAATTTTGAAACTTCAGTAGAAGTTTTTTATTCTTCTTATAAATACATCATATATGTGCACAAACAAGAGAATTATTGGATGGGGAGGAAAAAATAATAGAAAAAATTAAAAAAAAATTGAATAGTTATGATGAGATAGTGTGAAATTTTTTATTTATATATTAGTATATATCATTACGGAAGAAGAAACTACTAAGGCATTATGAGATTGCCATTAAACAGAAATCGTCTGAGTAAGATTCTTATTTCATATCCATATTTAGAACAATTGACTATATACTATAATTTCATATCTTAGTCCGGTCGCTATAGCCATAATTTTCGCTGCTTCAATAATTACATCAATTAACTAGAAACAAAACTATGGTGTAATATGCAGGACATATAATGTTGTTAATCAATCGATTTTTTAAAATAATAATCATTGAGAGAAGAAGCGTCTTCCCTCGAATACTTTTTTTTTATACAGATAGGTTTTTGTTAAGAACTTGAAGTCACCATCCCAAAAGTTAGCTCGAAGGGTGGGAGTGCCAAGGCTTCATAAACTCTACATTAGTTGCTTTGATACCATGTTAAGAATCTTGAGATCACTACCCAAAAGCTAGCTCAAAGAGTGAGAATGTCTAAGACCTTATAAACTCCATATTAATTGCACGTAAAACCAAGCGTGGTACTATATTTTTCAACAGTTTTGTTTTGTGACAATCATCGTTACGTATGCAAATCCTATGGGCTTTCGAACTGCTGTTTTTTGGGATAGATGTGAAGACGATATTGATGAGGATTCGGTTTCGTTTACTAAATACCTTTTTGTAGTCACACACCATGATTCAGCTTCGAAAAGACACTTTCAACGTTTTATTTTGATCTGTCAAGCTGACCAAGTGAGGAATGAGGATTGCACCAAAAATAAAAAATAAAAAAAATGAGGATTTACTGAGACCCGATTTCTCATTGTTGTTTAGGATGAGTTATTCTATGGACAGGTTCTATATAATTGACAAATGCTCTCTTTCATATGCAAAGGACAAAAACAGAAAATAAAAGAAAAAACAAGGGTAGAATAGTAAAAACAAAGTGTTGACTGTGAGTGAGATCACGAAAATATAAAATGAGCCGGGATCGTATAAATTTTTTTCGTTGTTTAGATTGGATTCGTAGGTCATTTTATCTCTCATAATTATAAAGATTGATTTGATGTGAAAAAATAATTATGTTATTTAATCACAACCATTCATTGATGATGATGACAATAATAACATATCTACGTAATCATTTTTTTCACATCCAAAGCCATGGAGAGTAGACTTTTGCAGTCTTGAATACTACGGAAATGTTTGGTAGATGAGAAATTTTTTTTTATCCAAAAATCTCAATTTTCAAAAATATAATTTTTACATTCAGTTTACGATAATATATGAAAATTAAAAATTTAAAAAAATTTAATTTCCCGAAAATCGTCAGAAATACCGCGTACCAAATGAGGCCTTAGCGTAGTAGAATTTCGACAGAGACCTCGAAATTTTCTGCATAATCAAATTGGCCTCAAACTAGACCGAATTTCATATACCATATAGAACAGTTCACTGTTCTTTGTGTCTTCGTAGGATTCAGCTGAATTGAGCTCAAACGAGAGATGATCAGTTTATTTGCTTGCTGCTCTACTAGAAAGAATCATAAATACACACTATAAAAAAAAAAATTAGATTAACAAATAAATTGATAGCTGAAAAAACAAAATAAACTTTTTTTTTTACTTTTCTTTATTTGTAAGTCATTCACAAAAATATATTTATATCCCCTTTAACATCTTTCATAAATTATTATTTCGTTGAATTAAAATAATTTATCCAATTTAAACTAAAATAAGTAAAATTGTGCAATGTGACACAACGCCTAATAATAAAATGGCTTTATTAATCTCAAGCAATAAAAAAGAATTCTCTCATGCAATAAAGATAATCATGTGTGAGATCCACCCACTATAGAAAAAAAAAAAGAATAAAAAAGTAACACAAAAATTGATATATGTGTAGAAGAGAAAAAATTCTTTCCTATAACATAATAGTATATTTTCCCATAATAAAAAGGGATTTATTAATCTTATGTTGCATAAAATATAATCTATCTCCTACACACACAATCTCAAAATGGGTCCCACGTTACTTTTTTTCTCTCTTCCCTTAAAAATGGACCCCACCTGCACCAATGAGTGTGTAGGAGATAATACATATCTTCTACAACATAAAAAAACTATTACCCTAATAAAAATGGGCAAATCAAATCTCATATTAGAGGAGATAAAGACATCTTCCATTTACCAAAAAAAAAAAAACATCTTCCAGCATATACATCAAAAGTAGTGGCTGATTTATTTACTTTTTTTTTTTGTTAAGTGGGATCCACAAAATTTTGTACCACCAGCATGACATGAGGCTCCATTTCCCCTAACTAAAATATACTTTATTTGAATTTGTATAACCAGGATTTTTTTATACGAAACCTACTGCCTACTGTCCCTACTTAGCTAACTGTTTCTACAAAAAAAAAAAGGGCACTTTTAAGGCTGAAGCAAACCTAGCTCTGCTGAGTCGAATCCAATCTCGGGACAAGCCCATTACCAATTAACCCAATAAAGCTGTTGGTTCCAATTGAGCCCACTTTTCCACTATTGCATATATTTCAAATGAAAAATGTTACTCTTTACTCCATTTCATTTCATGTAGCAAGCTAGACTGAAAGAACTCAAATGGATCTTTCCAAATTCCAATAGACTAGGGGAGCTTAGAGAAGCCAAGTTCACAAGATTCTAAACCATATAAAACTCAAGGGGAGCTTTAGAGAAGAGTGAGAGCATTCCACACCCATCGTGGATAACCAAAGCAACCCTAGCAGTGGACCATCCCTTTCTCCAAACACAATTAGAGACTGTGGAAAGGCTACAACATCATAATCAAGAGACGTAGGAACGAATAATAGCCCTTACCTAGGAACCTGACATTGGGATGACGAGTGCAAAGGCAATAGGGCAAAAGTTTCATTTCACATACCATCAACACTGCCAGTATATCCAACCTTAAAAGTAGGTATAATGCCATCAACCTGTATGAATAACTTATGAACAGTAATACTCACTTAATAATATGCACTTTATTTTAAATTCATATGATTTTTATTTATTTGATTACCATTAAATCAACTTACTCTTTAAATATTTAAATATCTATATTTTAATTTTATCATCCATATGAATTTCATAGTTCTCCATATTTGAAATTTCACAAACTTCGAATTTCAAAATGAAAGAATACTTTTACAACCAATACCATGATACCATCCACGTCCAGTCACCATGGGAGTGTGAATGCGTCGCACCTTTTCGCCACAAGAAATCAAAACCCCCGTGCTTGACAGCTATTTCTCTATTTCTATTTCTCTGTCTCCATTACGTATTATTAATAAATAAAAAACAAGAAGAATAATTTCCCAGATAAAATAAGAACAAAAACAGAAAAATAGAAAACCATGACAGGGAAAAAAAAGAAAAAGAAAAAAGAAAAAGAAAAATAAAGGTAGGGCTATTTTTGTCCCCGGAAATGGGATCCAACGGTCCATATTGTGCGTCTCCAAATATTCCCCGAAAACGCAACAATCGGGGGCAGAAACAGAAGCCAAACCAAAGCTTTCGGTTTCCCCACAAAAAAAATAGCTAACCCCTACAAACCAAAACCGCTATTTCTTGGTCTGAAACCAATTTTCTTCATTTTGTACCTCTCTCTCTCTCTCTCTAGCTCTCTTTCTCTCTCCTCTCAAATCCCGAACCAGATCTCGCTCCGATTCCGCAATGGCGGCTGCTCTCTCTAATCGCGAAGAGTTCGTGTACATGGCCAAGCTGGCGGAGCAAGCCGAGCGCTACGAGGAGATGGTGGAGTTCATGGAAAAGGTCTCCGCCGCTGCGGATAATGAGGAACTCACTGTGGAGGAGAGAAACCTCCTCTCCGTCGCCTACAAGAACGTGATCGGCGCAAGACGCGCCTCGTGGCGCATCATCTCCTCCATCGAGCAGAAGGAGGAGAGCCGCGGCAACGAAGATCACGTCGCCGTCATCCGCGATTACCGATCCAAGATCGAGTCCGAGCTCTCCGGCATCTGTGACGGCATCCTCAAGCTCCTTGACACCCGCCTCATCCCCTCTGCCGCCTCCGGCGACTCCAAGGTTTTCTACCTCAAAATGAAGGGCGATTACCACAGGTACCTCGCCGAGTTCAAGACCGGTGGCGAGCGCAAGGAAGCCGCCGAGAGCACCCTCACCGCCTACAAATCCGCTCAGGTTTCCACGATTTTCATTTTTCTCTGATTTTTGTGATGTAGATCTGGTTGTTTTACTGCCAGATTGGCGATTCTGACTTATCATTTATATACACACACACAATCACGCACGATTTGCTGAATTAGATTGGAATAATGGAATCTCTACGATAACGGAGATTTTAGAGTTGAAGGAAGTTGAAAATCGGAAATTACTGGTTAAAATTGAAATATTGTAGGTTTAAAGCTGCGAATTGAATATCGTTAATTATTACTAAATGTTTTTTTCTGTGTGTGCGCGTTTAGCTTACTGGTTTAAAATATGTGCTTCTGCTCTGCAGATTTTTTGTTCTTTTGTTTGTTTGAAACGTTTCAGTTATTGTGCTATGCAATTGCTCTGCGGCTTTCTGCGATCGAAGATTCTTTCGCTGTGATCTTTTGTTTGAATGCTTCGCTTTGATTGGTATTGAAATGTTAATTTCGGATGTGTTTTTTTCTGATGTTTTAATTTGACTCTTACTGCAGGACATTGCAAATTCTGAGCTGCCACCAACTCACCCTATCAGGCTGGGTCTTGCTCTGAATTTCTCTGTGTTTTACTATGAGATTCTTAACTCTCCTGATCGGGCTTGCGGCCTTGCAAAACAGGTTAGTGTTGGAGAATCTGAGTGAAGGGAGAAGATAATTGGTGTGTTATTTTTTTCAATAAATTCCCTTTCAGATTAATTAAATGTTTAACGTTTCTTGTCCGTGAATTGGAGTGATGTTTATTGCAACAACTCCATATTATAATTCCATGAACGTTGAAGTAACCTTGTGTTTAGGTTCTGGTAACTAAATAGGAATGTCTCATGTTTGTTCCTCGATAACTTTGGCATTGGAATATATATATATATATATATGGGAAATAATAATCTTATGTTACATAAGATTTGTTATCTTATGCATAAGACACAAAGTAAACGTGGAATCCATTTTAAATTTTTTTTTTCTTCCTTATTCTCTCTCCTCTCTCTTCTCTATGTGTGTGTAGGAGATAGCTCTTCTCCTATGCAACATGAGAAAAGACAATCCCTATATATATATATATATATATATATATATATATATATTAATTTGTTTACATTTTTTGTTTTTTTCGTTAAGTGGGAACCACAAAATTCTGTCTCACTAGCATGATACGAAATCTTTCCTGTAACATGAGGCTTCATTCATGTTACAGGAAAGATTTCGTATCATGCTAGTGAGACAGAATTTTGTGGTTCCCACTGACTTAACGAAAAAAACAAATAATGTAAACAAATTAAGCACTGCTTTTGATGTATGTGCTGGGAGATGTATTTGCCTCCTGTGACATGACGCTCGACTTGCCCTATATATATATATATATATATCTATCTGTGTGTGTGTCCTTCTTTTGTGTAATGGTATGTACTCAAGAACAATTCTGTTCATTTCGATATACACCAGGCTTTTGATGAGGCAATTGCTGAATTGGATACATTGGGAGAGGAGTCATACAAGGACAGCACTTTGATAATGCAACTTCTTCGTGATAACCTCACCCTTTGGACCTCTGACATGCAGGTATGGTTTTTGAGTTTTTAACCATATCTTTTGTATCTTGTTATCTCTCAATTATCTTTACACAATCTTTTATTGATTTCGGTTTACATTTTGTTGGGTTTTCAGGATGATGGTGCAGATGAAATTAAAGAAGCAGCACCTAAAAACGATGAACAGCAGTAAACATATCTTACTGCTAATTAGTCATTGAACTTCTCTTCGATAATGTTTTCAAAGGGAGAAGGTGCTGATTGCTAATCTCAATGCTACTGAGATTTTAGGCATTCATGGTCTTTGTTATGAATTATGGATGTAGTGGGCTTTTAGTTTGTCCTTCCATTTGTACGTGTTTCTGAGTTGCCTATTTTCTTAATGACACTGAAATTTCTATCATATGCAATTGGAATGTGAAGATTCTATTCCCTTTAGCAAACTTGATGTCGCAGATTTTATTTTTTTTAGGATATGAAGGTGTTGGCTTTATTTGTGTTCACTCTGAAGCCTTGAAATTTGAATTTAGCCTGCTTGGAATTTAACGTTTATTGTGAGTATTGCCCACTTCATTCTGTTCAGGTCAGTTTTTGTTGATATTGAGCGCTATTTCTGTGCAATGCACATGTATAAGTGTTTGATCTTAAAAGTAATGTTTCTTATTTTCTCTCGTATGGTATGTTAATTTTAGTGTTGCATTCGAAGTAGTGAAGAAGCGGAAATTACAAGGGCCTTTAGCTTTGGAGTTGTAGTCAGTTATAGATGGTGGCTGGATATAAAATTGTCGTATTCCTTTGGCATGGTTTGAAGTGCCAAGTACTGGATCAATGCTCGAGTGTTACTTGTTTGTGTTGATGTTGCTTGGTCTCAATTCGTAAAATATTAAGCAAGAAATACGCTGAGAGAGTGCGTGATATTATTGGTTAAGTTCTGCCGTCGAAAAAAGGAAAGGAAAATTTCATAATTGTATTAAGTCCCAACTATGACCACTCGAAACTTGTTAGGGCATGCAATTCGGCGAATCTGTTAAGCTTTTGACCAAATAAATGTTGAAAAGCATCATTTAAAATTCCTCAAATTAAACGTAACCAAATTTTTTTCCCAAAATTAATAGAATCGTGGCAGAAGGGCATATGTGTCTTCAAAATTCTTCATTATCTCTTTGTTCAATTTCTTGCATTGGAGTCAAGAAAAAATTTACAGAATCAGTAAAGGCAGTAGCTTTATATAATAAAACCCATGTTGAATAACAAATGAAAGCAAATTGATAGGAATACCCAGTACAAAAAAGACATAGGCTCTACGACTCAAAAATGCCTAGGATTCCATACAACTTTGGACGCGAATCCTTGATCAACGTCAGATATCAACTTCCCCGCAAAAATAGTGAACAAAGTACAAGAGATAAAATTATAATTTAATTAGAAGAAAAGAACCACGATGACGGAAAATACCAAAAAAATAAAATAAAAAGCTGTCAAGTGCAAGTTTAGAATATTTTAAATCTTAAAAATTTATTAAGAAGATTAATAATTTAGTAAAAAAGAACTAGATGTGTAAAATTACAGACACACGTGTATATTGTAAAGAATTTTGTGATACATCACTCTAAAAGCTAGCTCAAAGAGTGTGAGTGTCCAAGGCCCTCACACAAGAGCTCATTGGACTTGAAGAGTGGACAATGCAACAAGCCCAGCCTACCTGTGCTAAGAAACTCCACAAGAAAAAGTGGAGGACGACGAGGCTCTGATACATGTAAAGAATTTTGAGATACACACCCCAAAAGATCCGTCCTTACCATTTGCCTTGGAGCATTAAATAATTCCTTGCAAGTTGCAAGAAAAACAAGAACATGATTTGGCATTACAGCACAGAAAACCCAATATTGGAACTCGGAAACATGGTTCAGACGAAAATAAATTGTACCCATGTTCTTGCGAGAGCTCTGAACCTAGAAGCTGGCAAATACCGAATCTATTCTCAATACAGTCATTAGCCTTAGAGCCAAGACTAGTTTCACCTCAATCAATTCACACATTGAAAACCGAATTTCTGCAATTACCGAAAGTCCGAAATCATCAAAATATTCTCGTTTCACTTAGCCAAAAATTCGTCAGGCCTTAAGTGATCATAATTCATAATGACCGAAACAATAGTTGCAGACCACACTAGCTATATATTGAAAGCTAAAATTAGTTACTCTCACTTAAATACGCCCTTTATTAAATATTAAATATGGTAGTTTAGCCTTAGCTAAACCCAATGCTTGTTATTCAAAAGCTGGAAATTGTGTGTTCTCGACTATTTGCACCGACATCAAAAAGGGAAACAGGACATGACACGACACGAGAAACAGAACACGTACTATATACTGATACGTTAATTTTAAAAAATGATATATTTCGATATATTAGGACACGTTTTGATATTAAATAATATTTTTAATATATATAATATAATTTATATTTAATACATATAACAGGCAATAATAAGTCATATAATCAATTAAATATTCAAATTTCATAAAGCAAAAATAATTTTTCATACTTTGTTAATTTTTTTATATCAAATTTCATAATAGAAAAGAATTGACTTATAAATTATTTTTTCATTTTTAATTAATAAAATAAAATTTAGACCTAAAAAAATATATCCAATGTGTGTCAGAGCATTGATCGCGTATCAGAAAAATTAATCGCATGTCTGAAAATATTAACCGCGTATCAGAGTATCCGACTCGCAAATGTTTTTAAAAATCACGTTTCGGTACTTTCTAATTTCTTGGCACATGAATGCGTGGGGGTTGGCGGACGACAGTAGAAATCATGAATCCATACACTCAATATTTTAGCTTAAGGTTGAAAATTTTCTAGTTTTAGAAGTTAATACATTGATTTAATTTACATTTCTCTTGTTTCTACCAGATATATATATCTACAGAAATATGAAATTAATCCAGTAAATCATATTAAATAATGGTAGATTAGTTAGTGTCAGAAAATTAAGTAAGTAAAGATGAGAGCATGTATTCAATCCTTCACATTATCATTTTTAGGAAGAATTTAAAATTTTAATCTCAGAAATCATCTAGAATTGAACTAATTTTGAAGCGATGAACAAATTGAAATTTCTAAAAAAAAAAACAATTAAATCATGACTTCTCGTACATAGGACTAAATTCGAGAGGAAAGTAGGAAACATCTAAGCAAAGACCATAAAGCTTAGAAGTTGAGAGTCACAGGGCACAACCTTTAAGGTCAACGGAATAACGAAGCAGCTTCAGAGAGCAAAAGCAAGACGCAAGTATGTTATCTGCTTTGATTATTTTGAGAAAATTAATTATGAATTAAAAATAGTCCAGCAGCCAATTCGTCATCCTGTGCGAATGAGCAAGAGCAACTTTAAATAATCTAGTCAACATAAACACACTATCAACCATTTTATAAGGAAAATCAAAGACTGGTCCATGAGTTTCATAGCTCCAAATCAATTTGACAAATTGTAAAGCAAGCAAAATGCAGGTACTTGCTGATTTCTCGTTGGGTATCACCTTTTTTTTTTTTTTTTTTTTGAGTTACCCAATCCTAATTATCTCTTTGAGTCGAGTTGCCTTTCTCCGGTATTCCCACGAGCTTCGACTCTTTGAGCTTTCTATGAGACTAATCTGGAGTGCGGGGGAACAATGATGGATAAGGGTTCAGCCTCCTCCCCAAGAATACATTCAGCGGGAATCGAACACATATCCAACCTCACTAACTCAGCGCCAAGTTACCAACTGAGCTGCACCCGGCGGGTATCAGCTAAGCCAAAAGAAAAAATGATTAAAATTTGCTGATTAAATTTCTATTGATTGCATAGCATTTCATTTTCAAGTGACACCTTGTCTCACAAGAATTTGGCAGTTTAAAACCATAGGTCAACTTTGCAATAAGCATTGCAATAAAGAAAAAAAAAATCCACCTATCTATGTGTTCACAATGTAAAATTCTAATAATTTGAACTCCACTCTATATAATTTTATTTTATTTTAGTTAACCCAACTTAATTATCTCTTCGAAGTGAGTTGACTTCTCTTGATATTTTCATAAACTTTGACTCTTTGAGTCACCTATAAAATTAATTTAAAGTGCGAGACGGATCCCAAAAATAACATATGTGGATCGAAGAAAGCTTTTTTTTTTTCACTTACTCAACTTTCTTGTTACAAAACTGAATTACCACCGCCATTTGATATTCTCCATAATTTTTGTTAACAAACTTTAAAGCCCAAGGGCCGTGTTAAAACCAAAAACAAAGATTAATCCACAAAGCCCAAGTTATTAGTCTCGTGATTGAAAATCATGAACACGTGGCAGCTACACACCGGTTTGATTGTGGTAGCCATTTCTCACACTGAGCTCGCCAACCTTTGTGAGGTTTGACCGGTACACAACACAACGCTGCAACACCCCCAAATCCCTCTCTTGTTGTTGTTGTTGTGTTGTAGCAGCCCCTCACTCTTCCTTCCATCAATGGCTGCCGACAAATCTCCAACTCTAGCTGAGGTCTCTATTCCTTCACCTCTCATCAATCTCTGCCTTTCTTTTCTTTTCTCAATTTAACGGATCTTCGTCTTCAATTTGAGTTCCTCTTCTCTTTTGAATGGGAACAATATCAATTGAAGCTTGATTTAGTTAATCCACAATCTGGACTACTCAATTTTCCCTTATTATTATTTTATTATTTGTAGCATTGTGTTTTTAAATTGCTTTCTAATGTATGTCATGAAAAATTAAGCTTAACGTTATTCATGACATTTTTTGGTCTGTTATATCTAGCAAAATTTCTAAGCCAGATCTATATCATGGGCGCTAAGTTAAGTCTCTATATTGGTCAAATTTAACGTTATTCTAGGGATGATTGCCAGGTTTCTAATCTTCCATTCCACTTTTCTTCAATCTGCTGTTTGTATGACTTATACAAGTATTGGATGCTAGTAAGAATTCTCTAGTTTTATTTGTGTTATGCTTAGTCCTTTAGTATATGTCCATATAGCCAATTTGGCAGCATTATTGATTGTGGATGATAAATCATTTATGTGAACTACATGTCATGGATATTGGAAACCCCGATAGTTAGAATTGCTGACTGCTGAGGTATGATGTGTTGCTTGCTTATATCTTTCCTGTTAGGTAATGATGACCTTTTCCCTCAATTTCCTCTGCTCAATGTACATCTTTTTACACCTTGAATTTGCATTCTTTAACGCTTTGATGATTGGTTTTCTATTGTTATGTAGAATGTGAGGTGAAGGTAGTGACAATTTTTTTTTTTTTTTTTTTCTGGACTTGCAGGAATATTTTGTGAATGACAAACAGGAGAAAACAGATGTAATTGAAAAACCTGTTGAAGTCAAAGAAGTTGAAAACTCAAAGGTGGCTGCTTCTGAGGAAGCTGTTGTTGAGAAAACTGTGCAAGAAACAACTCCTGTGGCACGCACAGTTACTGAGGAAAGCAGTGAAGTCACCCCTCCTGCTGAAGAAAGCACTAAAGATCAAAGTAGTGGCAGTGTTGAAGAAGAGAACTCGGGTGATCAAGACGCAGCTGAAGAGACCGCAGAAATTAAGGTGACATTTATTTAACTGAATCATTTTTCTTGAATTGTTACTTGAGTATATCATAAGCTTGCTTGATGCTCCTTCCTTCAATATGTTTGTATTTGTGCTATTATTTTCCAGCTTGAGACTGCTCCAGCAGATTTCCGTTTTCCAACTACAAATCAAACAAGGCATTGCTTTACCCGATACATTGAATATCATCGGTGAGTCTTACTCTGTTGGCCTTTTTTATTGAACTTGTTGTTCACACACACTGAAGAATTGCACCATTCTTTTATTTGAACCTTCGAAATTCTTGTGTAGGTGTGTAGCTGCAAAAGGAGAAGGTGCACCAGAATGTGATAAGTTTGCTAAATATTATCGTTCTCTTTGCCCTGGTGAATGGGTATGCATTTTCAATGCTGTATATTATTGATTATCTGCTAGGCACTATCTTCTTGTCCAATAAGATTTATTAACTAATATTGCTGCTTGTTAATGTGAAATTTCCATCTGTTTATGGTCTTACTGAACCCTTTTTCATGGAAATGGAGCTGTTTCTTTTACTTTGTTGGTAGTAATATAAATTCTTTTAAGGAAATTGCATCTTGTATGCTGCAACTTAGCTGTTCTTTAGTTTTTATCCACTTCTCATGATATCTGACTTTATGGAGAGCAAGTTCTTCTTCTTCTTTTGGGGGTATATATGGAGAGGGAGTTCTTAAGTTGTGGTAAATGTTCCTGTATATGGTATATGCATGATATTTTGGATCCTCATAGTTTAAATTTTAAATGTTTGATTAATTTCTGTCATCTCAGCGCTTTATCATCTTTGACTTGTTATCATGCCTTCATTGTTTAACTCGTGCGGCCTAGCCACCTGGATCCATTTTATTCTTTGCGATGTTGAATATTCCTTCTCAGATAAATTATGCTTCAATTACCTGATAAAGCACTCCATATGAAGATCTTCGTTTTTTTGAAATGATTACAACTTTTCTTTTGTTGGCTGCAAACTTAAAATAATTAGCACCTCCTTGAATGAAAAACCCACACTTGAATGAATTGTGAAGCATTTTACTTGGTTTTAAAGTTTCAAACGCTTCGTTGGAGAGTATTGATGTCTGATATAATTCACACAAGCAGTGCTTATTGAGTTAGTGGTAGTACTGGTGTGTATATTGCTTAAATTGAGTTTTATGTTCCTATGTGTGAGGGCCAACTATCCTAATACTGGTGTGTAATACTTAGTATTTACAGTAACTGTCCGAATATTTCCAATGGATGCCTGATGAGTGATGAATACTTTATCATTAGCAGTAGCCATCAAATACAGTTATACAATTATGATTTTTTTTTTTCATATCTTTTTTCTCAATCACTTATTTAGTACATTTCACGAGAAACAATTCCTTTTTTAGGTGTTTTTTCTGTTGCTAACAATCTAAAAATTGCGTTGATGTGCTAACTGTCTGTTTTCATCAAATTATCTATTCATCAGATTGACAGATGGAATGAGCAAAGGGAGAATGGAACATTCCCGGGTCCGCTGTAGGTGGCGCACGTCTGAAATAGCTGCACAATTCGCTTGCAGTATTATATTTAAAATTGCTAGAGATAAACTCTCAAACCTTTGGGGAATGTTCAATGTTACTCATTGGGTTAATAAGAAATTTTGGCTGTCTATTTGAACTAGCTTGAGTTGTACAAATTCCAGGAAACGCATCTGGTGAAATGTCCAGAGATATGAAGTATCATTTACCGGATTCTTTACCCTATGAGGGATTGGTAGTTCTAGTCTTTTATGCCCCCACCCTTCCCAATATATATATATATATATATATATATATATATATATATATATATATATATATATATTCCCTAAAGCAAAAGATTAAAATATGTTTAAAGGAAGTATTTAAAATAGTTAAATGTATAACGAAGCTTTAATGGTACTTCAGGGACCAATAATTATTAACCACTAGTATATGACTATCGCATGAAATATTGTTTATTGGGGAATAGAGGTGAATCGTAAATAGAGACCTTGTCTTGTTGCTTTGCTGAATTTGAGGTTCTAGTTCTCTAGTATAATGTTCTGTTATGTGGAACAGCTCCCGTCGTTTCTCCTTTGCATCTAGTTAGAGCAGTACTATTACTAATCTTGGGTGGGTGCGTTTATTAATTTCTATTTCTTTTTTTCTTTAGAAAGGAAATATGACTTTTTTTTACCATTGTGCCCCTAATTAAATTAAAAAATATTATGTCTCCGTTTTTAAACTATTTAAAAGTATGACATTTTCTTTAAACATAACATCAATTTGTCCCTGTTTGACAGTTGGCTGGTACTTATATTCGAGTATATAACCAAAATACTCAGAGTAAATTAGGTGTCATGAGTTTACACTCGAATACATGACCCTGATACTTGAGTATGGCACCAAATACTCGAGTATGATGAGTTTTTACCATAAAAGTTTAGAATGCTATAACTTTAGGCCCAAATCAAGTATTTTTTTTATTTCATGTAACTTTTTTTAGATCTACACACTAGAAAATTCCTAAAGGATTATTTGTTAGTGTTGGAAAGTAAAAATTTAAATAATATCATTCTTAAAGATAAAATATGCCAAACAGGGTACAAATAAGCATTTTTTGGGAATTTTTTGGATTAAATCAGGATTTACCAACGCTTAGTTCTCGAAAAGTTATGTGGAGTAAAAAAAAACATATGGACACCTGAATCAAAAGATACGGCCTTCCGAAGTTTTACGGTAAAATTTTCCAAATTTTGTAATGCAAATAGGTTTTGTGATATCCACAAAGCTCCTCATCATATCACTCTAGTCAAGTCCAATATTATGAGTATATGACCATAAAAACTTGTTTGATCCAAAAAATATCTTGGAAAAAAATTTATATGGCTAAGTTTACTGATATAATCAATTACCGTTCGCTAGTGTAATCGATTACTTGATCCAGTCAACGGTCAAGAATGCGTGATATGAGATTTTTATAAAAAGCCTAGCTCTCGCAAGTAGCTTGGGTTGAATACTCGAATATTGTTCGTGATCTGGGTTTTTATGAACATAGGTGTACTCGAGTAAATGTTCATAAAAACCCAGATTACAAACAATACTTGAGTATGTTACAAATGTACTCGAGTATTTACTATTTCGCGCAATTTACTCGAGTACATAATTTGGTCAACGGTCAAATAGAGGCAAATCGGTGTTATGTTTTGGTACGAGAGCAAAACATTAGTATTTATTTTAATTAAAGGCAAAAGGGTAAAAAGCCAAGGAAATATCCTCATTCATTATAAATTTAAAGGACTGCTTCTTGTTAGTATGTCTGAACCCTTTGGAGGATTGATGCGGCATTAGATTAATAGATTGTAGTGATAAAAGAGTTCAAGTAATTTTATTAGAATGAAAGCGGCACAGATTAAGTGATAAAAGTGGTAGCATATTTATGACATGAAATTTTTGGTGAAAGGAAAATAATGAAGTTATTAATCAGAACAGTATAGCAAATACGTGAAACCCTGTATCATTCTTTGAAATTGCTTTTGCTTCAACTTAACTAGAGGATAACGGTGCTTTCTCGCTATATGTGCATGAATAATTACGTAGAAGTTAAAAGTTTTCCACTTAAAAAACGAGAAGAGAAAATATTAAGTCAAAACTTGAAATCCAAGGTATGTCCTGGGGGAGGAAGTAAAGAATGATATGGTACTACATGTTTACAATTTGAGTTTGGTAATGTCGATCTTTGGTCGAGCATATGTATATGCCTCATAATTGATTTGTTGGCCCAAGGTACTCAATTTTGTGAAAGTGGTTATCAGATCAACCTGAAAAAGTAAAGAAACCAAAGAAAATAACAAAGTGAATTTTCAAGCCAAAGAAAAGAAAAGACCCACTAACTTTTTTGCTGCTCTTAGATGGAGCTATACATAGATAAACTTACCTCATAATCTGTCTGAGAGACTGTTTCACGGCTCCGTTGGTATTTTTGAACCCATGGAGTAACATCCGGATCAGTGGCCAATAAGGTCTCTGTTGCAGTCTGATCAGGTCCTAAGAATGCAGACAAAACAGCCACCTGGCCAAACAGAGAAATAAATAAATTAGTAATATCAACTTTTTTTTTTAATGCATGGGAAGTATTAAAGGATGCCTGCTTGAACAAGGTGTATCTTCTCATTTCTACATGGTTGAGTTCAATCATGCAAGGCAAAAAATGATGCTGCATTTTAAAGCATAATCATCAATTCATCATCATATAGCATTATAGTTCCACTAGACTTCTATGGTCTAGATAAATAATGGTTAGCTTAATTAAGAACTTACTAGAACAAAGCCTGTGTCATGACTTGCTTTCACGATTTTACCTTACTTATTTCTATATTTAGTTTTTTTGATATGGAATTGCTTTCACCATTTCAAAGCCACACTGGAGAGGGAAAAAATGCTTATGTCAGGCTAAGTTGAGCTTTGCTGAGTATAGACCAAGATCACAATTTCTACTCTATATGCACACGGCATCTTTGATTGTATATGCCTCTCTACCTTTCAGTTAGCAAAAATAGTGACAAAGACAAATTATGTTAAATACCTGGCGAGGACCAAAGCCTACGGCAGAAAACTTCTCTTTCATTTCCTTCACACTAGCTTTCTCCCATAATGGAACTCTCCCCTCTGGATCTGGTTCTTGAGCATCGGCCCTACCAAATTGCTTATCGAACAAACCCCACTGATACCACAATAAAAGTTGCATGCATTACATGCTCAAGTTAGTGGAGGCTCAAGTAGTAAAGGGAAGAGTATCATGGAGTGACATCTTGTAAACACTCTTTATCCATGTATCTTCTTATAAAGCTTATGTGGGACTTCACTACGTGTAACTATTAATAAATCAAAACATCTTTTTCCCACATTTCACCTAAAGATACGTAGATGGTGCTAATAATAGGATCAGTGTTCCCAAAACAAAAAAGTGGAACCCCAAAAGACTTTGAAAATTAGGAAAGCATAATAGGTCAAACTGACATCGACCAAGAATTGCACAACCCTAAGAGTAAGGCTTCCAAAGCCAGAGGATGGGATCTAGCAAACAAAAAGAGTAATTTGTTTCCTTAGTTATGTGACATATATTAGAACATTCATATAATTATTCATAAAAAAAAAAAAAAAAATCAGCATATAAAACTTCTTGCGAGTTGTGATCTATGCGTTAGCTCATGCATCTGCTCAATTAGCAATGAACCTAAAAGCTCTACTTGAGGATTGGCACCATAAAGATATTTATAAGCAGATTTAAGTCAGTACACAAGTTCAGAAGCATACCTGCCCATTTGATCCATATGCAGTGTATAGTAAGTTCCCTTTCTCCTCATTTCCACCACATTTACGAATAGCAGAAGCTAAAAATGTAGCCTTGACAGCACTTTGTGCTACAAAGAATTAAGTCAATAAAATCAGGGGAATTTGAACATATCTCCACAACTTCTGCCCACCTTAATTACAAATTAATTTTACAAAAATGGTCATAATTAACAGACTAATAGAATATACATGTGCAACACGTATTGTTAATAACCGTTAAGCTTCAACTGGGTGATAATAAAAAGTACAACCTGCATACTGGATGAGATCTGCATAGGATATGGGTCCACCTTTGGAATATGAATCTATCTCCTTTTTTGCTTCCTCTAATAAATCCAAGGCAGCAGAAAGCCCCTTATTTTCAGGTCTACTTATTTCTGAGCTTCAGGCAGAATAAGAAAAAAGGGAGAAAATATTAAAATTATCAGTACGAAAAAGGTGAAAAATAATGATGCTTACAAGTGAAGGAAGAGGAAAACTTTCATCATTGAAGAACTAGCTAGCAAAACCAAAAATGTAAAATATACTAATAAATACGCAAGCACAACTCCCAAGTTTAAATTTTTTTATCACGTTGTACGAAGAGAAAGAGAGACAGAGAAGCCCTAAAAAGGTAGGAATTTGGATGCAGCAATAACAACCCAGTGTACTTTATGAAACACAACTGTTTCATGTCTGGTTATATGTTAACAAAATTGGATTTAAAATATTAGGCTTTATCAACTTGTAGGCACAATCTCATGAATGTTAATTCCAAAGGAAAAAAAGTACCTGAACCGTATAGAACCATTTGGGCCACCCGATTTTGTTGCCTACAAACTTAAGCAGATGCCGATCAGTATTTAGTTTAAATGATGGAAGACAACTATTTGTGCACCCGCGTGTTTTTCTCACCTTATCATAAGTGAAGGCATCGTTTATAGCCAGTGTTAGTATGGGAGTAATAAGATTAGGATTTGCCTGTAACAAATCCAATGTCAAATTAGAATATATCCGCATTGAGAGTTCTATTTTCTGGATGAATAGATACATACACCTATGGAGTTTGAAATATGTGTAGTCTATAAACAGACAGTTTTTACTGTTACAAAATGCAAGTCAGCATGATATACCTTTATGGATGTATAAAGTGTTCCCTTAACTTGAGCTGTAAGAATAGAAGGTTAGGAGTCCGCTGAGAAGAGAAATCGGTTGAGTTTGACATGACTAATAGTTACAAGAAAATCTAGACCTAAAGGCTCTTACATTGAAATTCAGAACGTTGTCTACGTTGTATCAAATCAGCAGCATTAGCCATTCCAACAAGCGATCCGGAGCTTCCTATCAATTCCTGCAAACAGATACAACTGACCGAAACTAATCATCACATCAATCGTATTCACTAAATACATACATTATATTGTATTCCTATAAGCATCTATATCTATGAATAACTATTGTTGCATTAGATATTCAAAGGATAATGCTATATAAAAACACTACAAGAGACAGAAAGAGGCAATAAATATGCGGAGTCATTGGATACCATGTTGACTGTAGAAAAGTTTTGGTTGATCAAGAGGCAAATCTAATGGTGCAATTGCAATGTGTTGGCTCAAGGTTTGCTACTTGAACTACTTTGTGATGATAACAAACATAAAGCTTGATGTTCTTTGACAATCTCACTTGGTCTTTTCAAGAGACTTATTTGTTAAGGATTATGCAAAACTATCTCTTGATAATAGAAGTTTCCCTGCTGGAAGCTATGAGAAGATGAGATGTTCATGTGTTCAAGGATGAGCCACTTCAAGCTTGACATACAAAACCTTATAAAGAATTGAATCTATATCTGTTGTCGAAGATTACGAAATAAAAATGCAAAGAAAAATGCCTTAGAAGTGAATCTATTCAAGATTTGATGACTTCGTGCTGATATGAGTTACGGTCAAATTTTTGTCATGAGCTGCTTAGATGAGGCGATTGATGAGGACTATGAGCTATCTGATGAGCGTTTTTGCTGATGCGGAAAACCTCAATCCAAATGAATCCATTACCTTGTGCAATGTGTCTAATACTTCCAAAACACCTCTGCAGTGTTCAAATATTGTACCAAAAAAGCAAGGGAGGCAGCTAAACCAATGAGGAGCTAACTTTAGGAAAATGTCTTTCTAAAGGAGAAACTTTCTTTTTGAATTTTTGTCCACGTACATGTGCAAAAACGAAGGCTGGAACGTTTCCATCAATTTTCTATAAATGGGCAGCTTCTTGGAGAAGATAAAAACTAACAACAGAAGAATTTTCTGAATATTAAAGCTTCTTTGAAGCCTCCATCTTCTTGAGATCAGTTGGGTGCATTTATGCTAAAAGAGTGTTCAATCTTTCTTCATCTCTTGCAAAGCTTAGTGTGGATGTTTGTTCTAGTTTGTGAGCTAGGGAGTTTGGTTTGAGAGTGACCGAGAGGCTGAAAATTAAGAGCTGTGGTGGTACTAGCTTGAAGAGGTTAGAGGATTCAAAGACTACTAAGTGGTTAGATAGTGGAAAAATCTCACATTGGGTGGGAACTGGACATAGACTCCATGGAGTTCGAACATGTGTAAAAATCCCTGTACAAGCTCTTTCTTCCCTTTCTCTCTTTAATTTTTGGATTGCATGTTTAATCTTGATTGTTGTGTATTGAAGTTTTCATTTTAGGTTTTCTGACATCAAGCATCTCATAAAAAGATAAGCTACTTATCATCTATCTCGTCTTACCTTTTCAAGACGAGAGACCCATTCCCTATGTCTCCACCATAAGGTTGTGGTCTCAACCACATCCGACACACCCTCTCCTTCACTCCCATGCATTACTCACCTCATCATGAGAATGAGCTGGCCTCACACATGAGGGGGGGCCTACGGGGTAATGGTTTTGAGGTCACACTTTGTACGCCAAGGGAATCTTCCATCCCCTATATATACCTCTTTTTTCTTAAGCAGAAGGGAAAAAATACTCTAACACTCCACCTTTGTCATATATTCCATACATCACACTAAATAGATATCATATTCATAAAATACGATTCACTTTCAAAATGCCTTGGTGGTGAAATGGTAGACACGCGAATTCTTTAATTTTTAAGGTTTATGCGATTGGAGGGATTATGGATTATACCTATTCACACAAATACCTCGACGATTCCTGCTAGTTAATACGTAAAGCCCAATAAGCATATCTTGAGTTGGTCCCTGCGGAAAGGAAAAAGAATTTCACGCTCTTGCACTAAATCCTCAATAACTGACCCAACTATACACATACCTTTCAATCTACTCAGTTTAGTGCGACATTTGCACCATCAGTCCATGCTAGCTGAACTCTTGTCCTCCACACCAGATTATCTCTAGCTCACTGAATATTAAGCATTTCATCCTCTTTAGTGGGTTGACACTCCACTCCTAGGCCCACTTCAAATCAATAAGTGAAATGTTTTACCTCTGTTGGATATCCTACACCCATATATTAAGTTTCCTAATTACTTTATTATTAAGTTTCTCATTCTCTGCATAACCTATTTTACATCCATCAGTATTACGCTTTTTGGTTTATTTTTGCAAAAGTTATTATTGTAGCTGACTTGATTCAACCCCCTTCTCAAATCTTATTTCACCACAATTGGAATGAGTTTTCAACTCGTACAGGTAAAATGTTGTTTATATATCATTAAGCTATTAAAAAACATAGGTGTTGGGGACAAATTAAATAGAGAAGAACTCTGGGTCATATTAGGTTATGTTGTTGCTTTGACCATTGAAGCTCATCATCATCAACCAAGGAAAATTTGTTAGACCTTCATTCAAATACGGAAAAGAAAAAAACAAAGAACAAAATGCAGAAGTAACATGGTTTCAAAACCAGAATTAACTTTTGCAAACATAACACAATTTCAAATGAATCCACCATTGTGGAGTGATAACAAATATCCTAATGAATTTATTTAACAAAATATGAAATTGTAAGAACATGAATTTAATAGCTTCCCACCAGCGCCATTGTCAAATTATGATTCCATTTGTATTAGCAAAGCATATTCATCAGATGCAAAGGCTACATCTTTTTAAAATATATAAATAAATACAGAAAAGTAATAGGGAGCATGTTGGATTTTTCCAAAAAATTGTATTAACAGTCAGAAGAATGGCTCTTACCAGGCCAATGGTCGCCCCGAAGCATTTAAGGATGTCTCTCCGTCTCCCATGGAACTGATCTTCATCACTAACATCGATTTTGACTTTATTACAACAAATGGGTACCTAAGAACAAGTTGAACAATGGTTATAACTTATGATAAGTAAGCAACAGTAGGAATTAAAATGATTGAGTTTTTTTTTTGGTCATATCAATGCAAAACTCCAAACCCATTTCGCATTATTCATGAACAATGCCACACAATAGCATTGTGAACTTAGGAAACAAAGAATTGTAACCACATTGTATGTTGACAGACAAACACTAACACGCAGAGACAACTAAAGCAAAGTGCGAACTTACTGAACGAGGTTGGTATCTGGTGGTGGGTGGTGGATCATGAGCAACGAGTGGAAGCAGAGAAGGGAAAGCTGAGAGGAAGGAGACACCCATTGCTGCAACTACAAGTCTATCTTGTTCGGTGTCTCTGGAGAGAGAGAGAGAGAGAGAGAGAGAGAGAGAGAGAGAGAGAGAGAGAGAGGGTCATGCAAAAGGGGAGCTTCTAAGTTATGTGGAGTGTACTAGGTCGCGGATGATATGCATTATCCTGAAATTCTTTTGCTATTGGATTGTCTTATTTCTTACCCCATCTTCATAACTAATACATTATAAATGTTGTTCGTATTTTATTATGTTAAAAGAATAAAAGAATAGAGTATATTGAGAATTTTTTTTTTTACAAACTTATCAATTATATTATGTCTGATCGGTAACACTTTATTCAAGAGTATATTATTGGTCAAACATAATGTAGTTTATAAATATAACATTTTCTATGTTAAAAATTTATATGGTAAAAACGATGTATGAATATCATTATTTATATTATTTATATGAGATTTTTCTACTGTTAAATTCATGTTTATTTACTACTTGATCCACTTGTAGACATTCATTTAAATCTTTTTTTCTTTTCACCATCCACTAAATTGATCCCGAAAATATACTGTTCAGTAATTCAAATTATAATGAGCTTTTCTTTACGAATAATATAACTTAAAACCAAATATATCTTTCTTTCTTCTTATTTTTTTCAATGAGGATTATCAAATTTTCTGTTATTTTCTTTTAATATAGTGCAAAAATTGGTTAGTTCATTATGTAAATCTGATGAATAATTTTCTTAATCCAAGTATACTAACTGATCTCTTAATAATGATTTTTCTAAAGAAAAAGAATGAGGACATATAGAATACTGACAAAACATTTTTTATGATAAGACACTTTTAATAGTGACAAAACATTATTATAAAGCTCAATAATTGGGAGCTTGTTAGCATGTGAAAGAAGAGCCAAGGTTCTCTTAACCGCTGAATAAGAATGAAGAATAATAAGTGAAGAACCACCTCAAATGAGTTTGTCCAGCAAGCCCAATCAGGCACTCCCTGCCTGAGATACCAGCAAAGTCAAGTTTCTCCATTCCACCTATTTGCATCATTTCAAAGAAAAAAATTTCTTTGGTCAAATTTCTAATACCAACTTTAATTTTGTGAGAAAGTTGGTCACGGTGACAGGATTTGTAAACCCCAGAAGGAATTTGTGCTATTAAAGGTTGGCGAAAATTTTCAGGAACATAGAGAATGATGCAAACCTAAGTAGATCTTACTGTTAGTTTGCACTTGTTGGCCAACGAAACTGAGATAAATTGGTACAGCTTTTGCTTTGACTCTGGGAAAAGGGGTACAACGTATATAAGTGCTAAGTACCACATTGTTGGAGTTAAAAATACTGAAAGCATTTACCAAAAATAAAATAAAATAATGAAATTAAAGTTTCTGTTTGCTAAGAAATTGTCTGACTTTTTACGTGGAAACAAAAAGATATTTTGCATTTTGTTGTCCTCAAAGGACTAAGAACAAAATGTGGTACAATGTAAGATTTCTCAAAAAGAATTACAATAACGTGTGATTGAATCCCTGGTCAAATCTGAAACCTCTACCTCTCTTTATAAATAAGTCAAGTTCACAGAATGAATGAATCCACTCCAAGCCAAGAAATTCTCATCCCAATCTATGATGGTATATCAAAAAACCCCGAATGCAGGTTTTCTTTTCTTTTTCTTTTCCTTTATTCTTCCCAAATTAAAAGGCCACATGAAATAGTTATACCGATATATACACTCAGCCACCACACCTTCTAGCTACACGTCAGATTTTATGCTCATACTTTGGTAAATGATAGCGCGTGTCACCCTTTTACCAAGGGACCTTTCCAAGGAAAAAGTTCTGCAGTATCTGATCTACCTAACAATGAGAGAGACGTTTAGATGTGGTGGTTCTGTTCGGCATAAACAATCAGGTAAGGGATTAGCATAGAAGGCCTCTTCTGAGCGAAACCTATCCATGCCCTTTGTTCCAGAAATTGGCCCTTTTCTCTTCCTTGGGGAGCCAAGTCTGCACAACACATATAACAAATGAAAAATCAAATATAAAGGTTCGCCCTGTGATCAGCATATTATAAAAACGAATGAATTAGAACAGATTCTTCAATAGGTTACACTAGGAAGATAATACCAAAATATTCATGTCATGTATTGGACAAACGTGACAATCAACCAGGGAAAAAAGAGGAAGAAGAAGAAGATAACATTCTGTTTCAAACTGATAATCCCACCTATCATTCATGCAAACCTGCTGTCAGCGGTGTTTGGTACATACTATAACTACGAAGCCTAAGATCTAGTTTTCAAAGATCGATCCAGCCTAGGCTGTGAAGCCAGATGGGTCAAATTCATTCAAAGCAAATGAAATGACCTGTTTCACTAATGGTCTATGGAGAAGACATGTTCAAGGAATAACAACAAAATAATAATGGCAAGTAGAAATATGTTATGATACAATCATGTGAAAAGGGGAGATGTAGAACAAGCAATCATAACAAGTGAAAGAACCGTAAACATAAATATATACATATGTAACATTCATAAAATTACTTAACATGTACACTGAAGGCTTTTTCAATGACATACCGTCTTCTGTGAAGATCAATAATCCTATTTGATAGTTTTTTCCCCTCAGTCATTGCTCCCTGATCCAGTTTATCAAACAGACGAACAAGGGCTTTCCTAATTAACATGACAGAACAAACATAACAGCTTTATAATGGATGAATTGGAAAGAGTCTATTAGACAATCTTGAAAGATAAATAAATAAAAGTGGATCTGATAAAATGACAGCTTTACCTGTCCGGAGATATTGTTCTTCCACGTCCAAGAAAACGGCGATGACCTTCAACAGCCCTTGCCATGTTTCCGGAATAAGAAGGTATAAATACATCACTTTCAATAGATACAATATAGTCAAGAGCAGCCATTTGAGATGCATGATTTAAAAAAGGATCAAGCTCCTCAATGGATGCTAACTTTTCCTGAAATTAATGACAGGTAGGTTAATCAACATGATACCAATGCTTCCAAGCAGGAAGCTATTACCCCACCCAAGGAAGAGACGCAGAGAAAAATAAAGTTTTTAATCATTAATAATAGAGGGAACATTTTTCAACAGTTCCTGCAATAACTATGAAAATACAGCCTTTGTAATCTAGCTCAACCCTGGTGCTTTGGATGATTATATTCTGGGCTTTAGACTACTCTAGAAATAACATCTGACAATTTAGACTTCTTGCCATAAGATCAGTACCTGCTATAGATAGAAAAGTTTTTTCCATAGAAAAAAGAAACCTCTGACTGATATCATGGCAGCATCTATATAATTTAATAGGATCGTGAGCCAAACCAGACACAAACTGTCATCAAACCAAAACGCTTAAGTAGTTTATAGTTTATAGTCTTCCTGCAGTGTCCCACTATTGATGTAAAGATCCCCATCCATTTAAACAATGTGGGAAGGGGCAATCTTCTCCTTAATTTAGGATAGATTTTCCATTTCAAAACATCTTAACCTTTTGATTCTACTTCCTTTTCAATTAAAAATATGTAAGGGATTAGAGGATGAACATGACATTATAAAACTTTTCCTGTAAAACCTCACTTTATTACTCAATATCATATATATTATCAATTTAGACATTGAAAGTTTCAAGTTAATCTTGATAACATACAGAAATGCTTTATACAACTTTTTTTACTAAAAACAATTTGAAACAAAAAGGCCCCATTAACTGTCAACCACATAGAGCAACACAGCATTGCAATTCCTTACCTTGCTCATTAACAAGGGGTAACGGGAATGCAGTTCAGCCATGTAGTACTCACCCCCATATATCTCACCAGCAGCAACATATATTGGAGTCTTTGATGGGTATCCAAGAGCAGTAAGGAAAATTCCAACTTCCTTTGGAGTTAAGGGGCAAAACCCCTTGGCCCTTTGCTCTCTGGGATCAATGTCCTTTATTTTCCAATAGGAAGTGTTCTCCCTACAAATTTTGTATAAAATAATTTTCAAATAATACTTGTGAGAAAAGACATGAGATTCAATGCTTCATTTTGAAGCAGCCACAGTTTCATACCTGATCATCCGTAGCTCTTCAGCTTCATCTGGAGATAAATTATGTGTACACCCACTAAATGCAAGCATATCCTTCTCATAACGTAAATGCAATGCAATATAAGGACCAAATGACCTCATCCTCTCCACCAGCAACTACAAGTACCCAAAAGTATTTAAGAATGAAATATAAAAAGCAATCCTAGAATCATGGTCCAAGTAAGAGATAGATAAAGAAATCAAAACCAATAAGAGTTAAGATCTCCTTATATACTTTTCCCATTTGTTCAATGCGAGGAGAGAAGCGAAGAGCTTCATAACAAGCACGGCAGCGAAGCTTTTGAATGTCTGGCGGTAGATTGTTGTTTGCTAACCGTGAATCAGATTTGGAAGCTCGAATAACCTTAAGATGTTATAAATAATTAGATGATTGCACAATATGTCAGAAAATAAGGCAAATAAAAAAATGGTAACAGAGAACTGCATTTAACAAAAGATTTCCAACATACTTGGTAATCTTCCCACAAGCTGGCAATCTCGTTAGCATAGTAATCCATGCCAGACCAGCTTATGAATTGCTTGACTATTCTGGTTGCATTAACCAGTTCTTTGGGAAGCTTCTTAATGATTTTCACATCATTAGCAAGAGAATTCATAAAATGCTCTTCATCAAAAATATCAGAGAAATTGCTGAAAATAAAATCATAAAACTCAATCAAGTAAAATCCAATAAGAGAAAGAAGCTATGACAGAAAAAGAAAAACAGAATTAAACATTACCTAGTATCTTGCCAAAATGATCTTTTATCAAGTTCTGGAATTACAAGAGTGGCATTTATGATACGAGCTACAGCTACCATATCACATATCTGCAGCAAAGGGAATAAATTTTCAGCTTCTAACAAAACAATGGAATGGGGCATCCAAAATTGACAAATACAACATTCCATGATCCTCATTCACGATACTGTCCATCCATCAGCATAGCAATCAATTACACAAGACAAAAATTCAACATCAAATAACTTTACATCAAAACTAATTTTATGCATATAAGAGTAATTCAGAGAGAGAGAGGTCAGACCCCAGAACGCATTTGGTTGAGCCCTCCATTTGTATGAACTAAAAGATATCCTTGTGACTCAGCAGGAGCTGAATAAACAAAAATTACTTTTAAGTACCACAATATTTCATACATGCAACTTGTAAGAAAAGCTTAAGTTTCTTACTGGTGTAATTAGGAGTAGGCTTTGTGCAGGGAAGAAACCCACGATTTGATGGAGGCTTCCACAGCTTCTCGTAATCCGAATCTCCTCTTGAACCATTCAACTGTCAATTCTAAAGGAGTGAAAACATGAAAGGTGCATAACTGCTTTGTATAATTTAAATACATCGGCCTACATACATGACACCCCAACATCTCTGAACATGTACTAAAACTAAATCAAGTTTAAAGTCAAAGAATTACACACTAGACGAGATTCATAAACATTAGAATTGCACAGAAACAATAACAGCAAGGAATAAACTGCCCACCTGGTTGACGGGGGAAATTGTGGAAATAAATTAATGAATTTAAAAAAAAACATGTTTGCAGTCAGGCTGATGTTCTAACAATAACAACTTAATAAGAAGCTCTTTGGTTGGTATAAAGATAATTTTATTAGATGTACATGATTCTGTTTCTTTATCACATTTTCTCAGCATACAAACAGATCAGATCACCATATCAGTTATTAGCTAGTGTTGACATGAAACACAAAACCTTGGGAGTAGGAAGTGGAGCTTTGGATAAATGGGGAGGAGCCAGCTCTCGCGTCCAGCTTTGCAGATCATGAGGCTGTCAAAATTTGAAATACAGAAGAAACAAAAATTAAAAAAATAAAGAATAAAATAAAATTTAACCACTATAATATCAACCGATGATATAAAAACAAAATTTCCAAAAATAAAGTCTTATCTATAACATAAATCAAAGTGGATAAACTCCCCCTAACTTGTTTCTTAAATTGGTAGCCATTAATGGCAATCTTCTTCAAGTCAACAAAGTACTGAAAACAAAAACCCTAATGTAGGGTCAACTTATAGCATAAATTTAGAATAGTTTCAAGTGCATAATAATAATAGCAGTTGGAGAGGATCACGGAATTTCCCAGAAAAAATCTAAGAAACCCATATAATAATGAGAACCCTAAACAAAATAAAAATTAGATTTTTTTATTTTTTATGAGGGGAAATGAATAACAAAAAGAGAGGAACCAAAAAAGGAAGAGGAGAAAAACCGTTAGGATCTTGTCATTGAACTTGTGATCCTTGGAGGAAGGGACAACAACGTGTACATGAACAGAGAAGAGAGCCACAAACGCTATTGAACATATGGCTACAGTGAGCAACTTCCTCAGCAGTACCAAAGGAATCCACTTGTGCCTCTGCATTCCACTCCCTCTCTCTCAGCTTCTGGGGGCACTGATTTCACCCAAATTTAATGACTTAAGAAAAAAAGCATAAAATTGTGTTGCTTTATATGCAGATAATGTTAATCCCTGCGAATGAACACTTATGTTGTGTGTATGTGAGGAAGAGTGAGACCATGGGTGTGTGTGTGTGTGCGTGTTGGTGAATGGTGACTTGACAAGGACAACAAAAGCTGGTAGCTGTTTGTTTTTGGGTTTTTTCAATGTTGTGCAGCATGCCACTTTGCTCTGGTCTGTTTTTCAAGTTGATCTGAGTCTGGGACTTCCCAATCACACTATTTTCTTTTTAATTATTTTTTTCAACTCTCGGATTATGAGGACGATCATCATTAAATAAATATAAATATTAAAAAATATATTAATATAATGTATTAATATATGATATAATAAATAATAAAGTGGTAGGATATTTTTACTACCAATTATTTCTAAATCCATTTTTTCATCCCACAATATCTGGAAAAAAATTCAAGAGAAAAAAATAAAGGAAAAACTACTCTTATACAACATAAGGGGGCGTTTGGTACATGAGAAATTTTTATTTGTCCGGGAATCTCAATTTTCAAAAATATGATTTTTACATTCAGTTTACCATAATATCTGGAAATTTAAAATTTAGAAAAATTCAGTTTCCCGGGAATCCGGCCAAATGCCGTGTACCAAACGCCCCCTAGTTTATCTCCAATAGATCCATAGTAAATCGTGACACTTTTTTTTTTTTTTGTAAATTGTGGGTCCCACCACACATGTATCTATAACATGAGAGAAGATATTTCATGTAACATGAGATTAGACTAACCAAAAATTAATCCCCTAAATATATAGTTATATTAGAATTATAATGGATTGATAATAAAAATAATTGATACTATAAATATCCTGCCTCAATAATAAAAACGCTACGAAATCTATGGTTAAACTCACTTTTCCGATAATTATGCACAAATATACACGCTTCCACACCGGAAAGATCTGAAGATGATGGTGGTGAATTCATACGACGAAGACAAATAGAAATGTTTGTGAATTTTAAAACACCTCTATAGTCTAATCCTTGATGTCATGACACTATGCGTTTTACCTTAAGAAAAAAAAGGAAACGAAATATCATCTTAAAAATTGAGTTGCCATTTGAAATTTATACAAAAATTCAGTATTAAATAACTGATTGGCACCTCATTCATTCTTCGTAATATAATCAAATCTTTTTTAAAGAAAATTATCATATTCATAACTAACGAACTGCATTAGTTCCTCTAAGATAAGGGGGGGCGGGGGTGGTGTTGTGCAAAGCTATAATAAAAGTGTCGATTTTCATAATTTATAATATATGTCTATATATTTTGTCATAATCTCGGTCGTTAATAGTCAATGATACATATTATGGTTAATCTCGGTCTTTTATATGTGCCTAAAATAAGAGTGTCTGTGGTCTGGATTGGATTGAATTAGTTTTGAAGTAAAAATCATCTGATTCAATCTCTTCGGTTTAATCATTTAATCATCCATTTGGTTTGAATTTTATTTTAAAATTCAATCTAATTTTATTAAGTTTGAATTAGATCAGTTTTTTATTTTTCAAAAAAAATAAAATTTAAGTCATACAAATTATTAACTATATAAAAATAAAGCTATTCAAAGTTACAAACCACTGAAAAATTCAAGTCTTTAAACTAAGAGGTAGGATATTGTTATTTGTTACTACCAATTTGTTTCACCGTTAGATCGATTGTGTCGATCCAACGATTATATTTATTTCTACTTTTGTATGATTATGATTCCTCATATTTAATGTGAAAGCATTAAAAATAGGGTATCATAACCATAAAAAAAAGAAAATAAATATAAAATATTAAATATAAGGAGAAAAAAGTTAAATTAGAACCGTTAGATCAACATAATCGATTTAACGGTGAAAAAATTGATAGTGACATTGGTAGTAACACTAATTGATAATAACAATATCCTATCTCTTAAACTAAAATAAGTCTTAAAACTCACGAAGTGTTGAAAAATTAAAACAAGTCTATTAAAATAGATTAATAGATAATAAAAAATTAAAACAAAATACTTTAATATCAATAACATCCAAGATTTCAAGTCTACAAAACAACAAGATCCAAGTCACTATCTTTTGAAAATAATATATACATAATACATTGAATTTAATCAATTTTCACCAACCAAAGTGAAAACTAATCCAATCCAATTAAAATATACATTTTTTTTTTGGTTTTTGAGTTATCGATTATTGATTTTTCGATTAAATCATCGCGATTTGAATCGGTTGATGAACTCACCTACCTAAAGATACATATTAACCAAATTTTTTTTTAGCAAAGCAGCATCTTGTGACGAAAACCACGCAAGCCAATACCCAAATAGGAATTAGTTTTGTACCTAAAAGATTGAGAACTTTAAAGACAATCTAAGAACAATGTTTTTAATCGATGAGATTTAATTTTAAATTTATTAAATAATATTATAAACTTAATCTATCAATATGGGCTTTTTAACCCTTTTGCCCCTTATTAATTAAAAAATAACTATTTTGCCACTGTTCCAAAACTATACCTCAATCTACCCCTCTTTAATCGATTATATCAAATATTTAATCGACTACTCCAAAAAATTTGACCTAGTCGATTGCATAATCGATTAAATGAAAAGAAAGAACATAAAAAGATGTGTTTTATGTTATGCCATTTCTATCCTACTTAAAGTTCTCACTTCTCAGTGTGTGTTTTTTTTTAATATTATTCTCGGTGTGTTTTATGTAACCATAAAAAGGTAGACCTAGTACTAGACTAGTTGCTACCACTTCCTCAAGCTCATCTTATCCTTTCATGCACTTACTCTATCAGACAGCCATGCTTCATGCAGTTTTGTTCGGTTAAGACACCAAACTCTGGAACACAAGAACCTCTGCGACATTTTTTCTTTTCATTTAATCGATTATGTAATCGACTAGGTCAAATTTTTTGGAGTAGTCGATTAAATATTTGATGTAATCAATTAAAGAGGGATAGATTGAGGTATAGTTTTGGAACAGTGGCAAAATGGTTATTTTTTAATTAATAAGGGGCAAAAAAGTTAAAAAGCCTATCAATATGTGTATTTATGTAATTAACCTATTATCTTCTTGTCGGACAGCAGACTGTAATATTCTCAAAATTTATAGTAATTTATTTAAAAAGGTGTAGAAACATTACCTTATCCTGCCAAAAGAAAAAAAATGATGTTCTTTAATTCTTTTAAAGTACTTGTTAACAAATTATTTGAAGAAAAAAATATCATTTTCTGTCCTAGTACAATTATTTTTAGGCAAAATAAAATGTTTATATATATGAATACTCAAATTAATAATTAACATGTATAAAATATATTTAAGAAATATATTTTTATATAATTTACATTATAATATATATACACCAACCGTTAGTTTGATTGATTATCATAATCATTGCAACCCAACAGTCTGTCTTCCAGGTAATGCGTCACATATTCTTAAAAATATACACGTGGCATTCGATTTCCTTCAGCCATTGATTTTTTTAAGAGAATCTGTGATCACGTTAACTCGCTCATGTCAAACGGCATTCTTCGAATTTGAAATAACCAAAATCTATTATTACACGTGAAAGGGATTCTGAGACTCGGGAGTAAGTAAGGTACGTGTCATCAGAAATTGTCGTTTTTTTCCCCATTTTGGGATGAAATTATAGCCCATGGCAGGGCATTCTTATGTAAGAGAGTATCAGGGGATGTTTGGTTTTGTATTCTTTTTTTAAAGAAAAAAAAAAAAAAAACTGTCTTGTACAATAATTAATGAAATTTGATATTTTCTGTATTTTTTTAAGTTAAAAATCAAAATATAAAAACAAAACTAATTCAAATACATTTTCTAAATTTGATTATAAAAACTAAACATTAATTATAATGTTTAGAATTATTTTTACAAACTAGGTCTTATCAAATAATTATTTTTCTAAAAATCAAAAAAAAAATAATTTTGAAAACAGAATTTAAACAAACACTTATATTTTTCATATTTTATAAGGTATTAATATTTCTCCTATCATAAGAAATAAAATTAACTCTTATAAGTTTAATACGACGTCGTTTTGAGATTTATGATTAAAAAAAAGGGTATTTTAATAAAATTAATAGGGCAAAGAAGAATATAAAATTTTCAAAATACCCTTTATTTTTAATCATAAATCTCAAAACAATGTGATTTTGGGCTTACAGGAGAAACTCTTTTCCCAATTAAAATATGGGGAAAATGTGTCATTTTAAAGGAGGTAAAGTTGTGTCATTTTAAGTGAGAGAAAGAGATAGATAAAGGAGGAGAGAGAATGGACAAAAAAATATAAAGGTCTGGGTCCCACCCTATGTAGCGCCGATACTGACACGTGACACGATACGACACGACACTCCGACACGTTAATTCTAAAAAATGTTAAATTTTGACACGTTAGGATACGTTTTGATATTAAATAATATTTTTAATTTATGTAGTGTATATTATATTTAATATTCAATAATTTAACAAAAATATGAAACTAAACTTATAAATTATAATATTCATCAATTTTGCAAAGAAACATAAGATATCCGAAATATTTATATTAAACTCAATAAAATGGTAATCGTAATCCAACAAATCTAATAGTTGAAACTAAAAACTCAACACAACGAAACCTTTGAACTTTTTCTTGAATTTCTATAACGCGTGTTGAAGTGTCGGAGAGTGTCGGAAAGTGTCGGACACGACACGTCAGGGTTTTTGAAGTGTCGGTGCTTCATAGTCCCACCTCTTTGTAAGAGTGAAATGACATAAGTTGTGTCATTTAAAAGGACAAACACAATATATTTTTTATATTACATGAGATAAAAAAATTAGTAACTTACATGAAATAATTTTATCTCATGCAATGCACAAAAAATGGGTGGAATTCATTATTTTTTTCCCTTTTCTTTTTAGTGAATCTCACCCAATTTTATGTGTGTTATATTAGACAACATGAAAATTATATTCCCATAAAACATAACATGTAGTTTGCTTGATCATACTTATCGTCACAAAATTCAAAATATTATGTAATAAAATTTCAACTTAAAATATATTTTAATTTCACATAAAACAGGCCGAGATACACATTTTGGTCCAGAATCCAAACCATTGATCGACCCACCAATCACCGATCAACACGA